GAAGCTAAGCTGATCTCGAGGGGGTCGACAACACTCATTCCTTAGACCCCGATGGCCTCTAGACACTTGGCCGAGATGAACGAATGTGTTGCCTCAGTGTCGAACAAAGCAAAGATAGGCATGTCGTGCAATGAAATCATCCCGAACATGGTACATGGCTGCTCGGCTATCAGGTTAAGGGCGAAGACACGTGCAGGTCCTCCACGTGGCTGGTCTGGGGCCGGCTGATGCTGACCCTACTGGCGCTGAACTCGGTCTGGGCAATCCTCTTTCCTTTGTCCTAGCCTCCGGCAATGGAAGCAAATTCCTCGCCCAGCAAGACACTCACCAGGATGGTGGCATCCACAAGTAGCGCAGGCTGGTGCAACCTACTATAGTGGCTGAGGGGGGTGAGCTGGGGCTTGACCCCTCGGTCTGACTCTCCTGTCTGGGCGGCCTCTGCATCTCCTCTTGTTCGAGCGGTGTGCTGGCTCATATGGGGCCCGCTGTGGTGGTGGCAGCGCAGGATGTTATGTTGTTGGCTGCTGAGCTGGCTGACTGGCGGCAGTGCGAGTGCGGATGGCCTCCAGTCGGAGACTCTCGTCAATCTGTTGAGCCCAAGAGACGGTCTTAGCATATGTAGGGCGCCATGGCCAGCAAGATGGTGGTGTTTCTCCCCGCGAAGACCTCCTTGAAGCGCCTCGCCCTCGTCTCCTACGTATCAATCAGGTACGACACGAAGAAGCCGAGGCGAGTGAAATCTCGCTCATACTCATCGACAGTCCTAACACCATGCTCCAGTGCTAAGAACTGCCTCTCCATCCTCTCTTTGCAGTGGGTCGGGTAGTACTTCTCCCGAAGGAGCTCTTTGAGGCGAGCCCAAGTGAGGGTTGCCTTCTCCCTGGGTCGCATATCCAGTACAAAGCCCACCTGAGACCTGCGTCCCCTATCATCTGAAGTTGTTCGCACATGATCCTATGAGGCTCGGGGTAATCCATCACCCCAAAAATCATGTCAAGGCTGCACAACCACTCATCAACCAGCCACGGGTCTCCCTGCCCATTGAACGTTGCTAAGTGATACCCGCGAAACTGAGAAATTGAATAAGCCTGGTCGCGCTCTGGCGCGGCCTATGGGGGTGCTGCACGCGGAGCTGTTGTGTGTGTAGCTACTTTGGGCGGGACCCTCACTCGACGCAGAATCAGAGCTCGGCGAGGAGTCATTTGAATGGCCAAATGATAGGGATTAGCAAATAAATTGTATAATTGGTGGAGAATTGATCACTCAGATAAGTCAATAGTAGAGCACGCAATTAACTAACTCTGCTAAATTTCGGACTAGAACAGTATAACCGATTAAGAAATAACTCCACCATACTTTAATAAATTTAACACATTCCCGAAAACACCAAGCTTTGCTAGATTTTCGGTTTATAATTAACTCTTCTAAGTTTTGGCTTGAATCCTGGCTAGAGTTCTCAACTCTCTAATCGAAGGATAAATCATACACCCCTTAAATACTCTGACTATAATAAATATGCATTCGTAAATAATAAAGGTTGTTCAGGTGACATACCTATGTTTCGGCGTGGCGCGAGCGTAGTGTTGTCATTCTCTTACTAGAACTTTTTAGTATACAGAACCGCTCTGATACCAAACTTGTAACACCCCGCCTAGACTTACTAAAATCAGAGTAAATTTTTCGCTCTATAAAAGAAAACTGCTGATTTAATTTTCGAAAACTCTTATTAATTTTTTCGAACATACTTTACTTTAATATGCAGGATGTTACTCAACTTTAATCTTTATCTCTATATCTCTTTAATCTCCTTTTCTGATAGAACAAACTTCTTGAATTTCTCAGTGATATCTTGCTCCATACTAACTAAACAAGATTCCAACTTAGAGCCAGAAATCCCTCACCCCTCTAGCACTTCCCGAAGAAAAAACAAAGCCCAATTTGAGGTAGCAAAGGCACAAGACATACAGGGAAGGGAACATAAAGGGCACTAAAAAAAGATGCAAACAAACAAAAAAAAAAAGGGGCCAAGAGAACTCCCAATTCAACCATATCCAACCAAGTTATGATTCAGGAAAAGGAGCTTAAAAAACTCAGCAAGAGGGAACAATATTTATGTTGAATGAGATTTCATGTTTGATTAAACAAAGTTCTGTGTTCTATTGCTTTGCACTTAGATAAATGGTTCATTACAGATGGACTAAAGATCATTTAACGGTTACTTAGGGAACATAAATAAATTGGTTCACAACCTAGATGGAACTGAACAAGCCATCGGAACATTTATAATGTGAGTTGTACAGTTGATCTTGACCGATTGGTTGCACTAGTGCACATTGGTGTATTGAACAAGATCCCAGAGAGGAGCAGTCGTTTTATACAGAATGGCATAAACGAACAAGGTCTCGACTAATAACTGTGTTTTCTTAACCCATAAAATATAAACAGACACATGTATGTAGTAGTTATTACATTGATTCTTCATGGTGATATTCATTTTCTCTCGATCAATAACTAGTTTTGGATAATGGTCGCTATGGGACATGGTGCTTTGTTATAATATTTATGGTCACCGTGTACTTTATATAGTTAATGTTTGATGATGTCCACGAAGAGAGTTCAAATGGATTATTATGTTAAGGTCTGCAGGTGGATTAAATTTTGACATAATAATAATAGTGCATTGAACGGTGCAAGCTTCGGTTTAAGTAGTTGATTAATTTAATTGTCAGTAATTAAATTAATTGATAGGCATTGTACCTTAAACATATGGAGGTAATTTGAGTAATTAGAAATTGGAGCTCAAATCATAATTTGGGAAATAAATTACGAGTTTTCGATAATATTACTTTAGTGGAATGACTGCATTATTCGTTTTTGGGCTAAGTGGGCTCGGCCCATTGTTTTTCCCAAAATACGTTAAGCCCAATTTAATGTCCCCTTAGGGTCCCTATTGAAGCCTATAACTACAAATATTTTTTTGTCTTCAAGGATATACATCAGATAGAGATATAGAGATTCTCTTTTCAACCAAGGGTGTTCTATAGGTGTTAGGTAATTCAATAGAAGTCCGTAAGGTAGTCGAGCACCTGACCACTATCAACCACACGCACCACTGGCAACCATTGCTAGCCAGTCCCACGTCCACGATAAACACACGCTACCACAGCGCGAGTCCCGCGATGCGACCTGAGGCCACCAGCGAACCCCGCGCTCCCAGAGACCCAATCACGCCGCGACCCGTGCGCTCCCAGCGACCTGTTCCTGGCAAGTCCTGCTCTCGAGAACGCTGCAGTACGCGACTCGCACGATCACCACCGCGCGAAGACCTGAGATGACCCTGACGAGGGGATTTTCGGCGAGTGAAAAATCAGACGATCTCAATCAACGAAAATCTACTACGACTGGAAGTCTGCAAAATTTTGAGCCGTAAGTTTTCTACCTTAACTTATGATCCGCTGTGGATAGGTTAATTTATAAAGAAATCTGTAACTTACACATTAGCAACGATCCTTATAATCTCAACAAGAACATCACTCATGCATAAGAGAGCCGCCTCTCTCGTGCGAGCCATCCCTCGTTCTCAATTAAATTTTAAGATATGTCGCTCCACGAAGGCGACCGGAGAGGTGTCGGGTCATACGGCAGAAGGCTGTGAGGTTGACGAGGCATCTTGGCGACCCGACACGCCCATGCAACACATGTCTGTACACGACGAGCCTCAGCGGCACGCGAGTAGCCGCATCCGAGACGCAACTGAAAGCCCCGGCCACGATTCATCCACGGTGAGACGCGATCATCCGAGCCCAATGTGCACAACCCGAGAACTCCGAACCCGACGTTCGATTTCTGGCGAGTGAAAAATAATCGATCTCCATCAGCCGTAATCTACAGCGTCTCAGAGTCCGCAAATTTTAAGTCGTAAGTATTCAACATTAAAACTTAGTATCCATTGCGCATAGGTTTATTGTTGTACGTTTAATTCGTGACTTGCACTTAACGAGATCTTTTCCGGTCCCTTCACTATGTTCCTGGTAACCCAATTTTCCCCTGTTGTAGCTTTTAGCCCATTGAAATTCCCCTTCTTGCCTCCTTCATTTTTTTTTAATCAGACTCAATTGACAATCCATTAGACCTAGGGCTATATATTGCTCCAATGGCTCTACTACTTGTTCCTCCTTTTCCGATAGAACAAACTTCTTGAATTTCTCAGTGATATCTTACTCCATACTAACTAACCAAGAATCCAAGTTAAAGCCACAAATCCCTCCCCCCTCTAGCACTTCCCGAAGAAAAAACATGGAAGAGAACATAAAGGAAACCACTAAAAAAAAGATGCAAACAAACTGAAAATAAAATAAAGGGCAAAGAGATCTCACAAATTCAACCAACCCTAACCCAACCTAGCTATGATTCACGAAGAGGAGCTTAAAGAGGACTTAAGCAAGAGGGAACTCTAAACAATGACATGACAAATCCAACTCCACCCGATGTAACTAATTGATGTCATAAAGAGAGAAGAAAATCCAACGTGTGGAAATGATACAATGGAGCAAACACGATGTGGTTGATTTGTATGTGGGTTGAAAATGAGTGCCGAAAGAAAGGAAAACCGGAAAGGGGAAAAAAAAAACAAGGTTAGAGTAAAAGGAAGGTAAGTATAGTACAACAATAAAAGAACATTCCGCGTACACGCACACATACAAACACCACCAAAAATTTTCAATAAGCCCCACCATCCCCATACGATACAACACAACAACAAGTATCATTTTTCTTTCACACCTCTCTCTCTCTCTCTCTCTCTCTCATATATATATATAATTCTCAGATTTTCTTTCCTCACAATCTCATCTCCCAAATATCATCAGTCTTATCCTTCCTCTTCTGCTTTTCTACTCTCAAATTATGAAATAATATAATAACATCATATTTGTGCCTCTGTTTGGCCTCTCTCTCTCTCTCTCGATCTCGATCTCGATCTCGATTTTTCGGATTTTGAGATGAGTAAATATCCAGTGGAGATGGAGTCATCAAAGGGGAAAGGTAAATGGAAGAAGAGGGAGGAGGAGAGGAGTAGCAAGGGCGGTGCAGGTGCAGGTGCAGGGTCCTCAACATCACCAGCTCCCGTCTTCCCTTTTGCCCTCAACACCACCACCAATACCTCATTCCTCACATCCCCTCAGCAGCAACAGCAGCAGCAGCAGATGATATCGTTTGCTCCTCCCCAGCCACAGCACACGACGACCGCATTCCCCCCTTACTTCACGGGATGGGCCTTGCCGCCTCAATCTCTGTACTTGAGCAACAATGCCCTGAACCTGAGCCCTCGGGGCCACACGCACACGACAACAATGATGATGATGCCTCGGCCCCCTACGAAGCTGTACAGAGGGGTGAGGCAGAGGCACTGGGGCAAGTGGGTCGCGGAGATCCGTCTCCCCAAGAACCGAACCCGACTCTGGCTCGGCACCTTCGACACCGCAGAGGACGCGGCCCTCGCCTACGACCGAGAGGCCTTCAAACTCAGGGGACACAACGCGCGCCTCAACTTCCCGGACCTCTTCGCCGGTGCTGCTCAGCCGGAGTCGGAACCGGAAACTCCGAGTTCGGAAATCGGGCCCTCGGGAGGAGGAGGAGGAGAAGGTGACGAGAGTTCTTCGGTGGCGGCGCCCCCATCTTCCGAGTTGGTTTGGGGAGATATGGGAGAGGCGTGGACGGAAGCCGGGTGGGGACCGGGAAGCCCCTTTTGGGATAACTTCGACCCCACCAATGCTCTGATGCTACCGCCCAATCTGCCTCCTTTCGCCCCAACTAGTAGTAACCAACATGATTCCGATGATTCACACAAACCACATCATTGAAGAAGCTTCATCCATTCTCATTTCTCCTTTTCCTCTCTCTCTCTCTCTCTCTCTCTCTCTGTCTCTCTCTCTCAATCTCTGCTTCAGTTGCATATGGCTGCGTATTTGAGGCCATCAGCTTGACCTGTTCAGAGCTTCAGTTGGATGTATCTGTACTAGATTAGTGTTAATTATTATCTTTGGTTGCTACCTATGATTAAGGAGACGGTTTTGTGTTCTCCTTGTTAGTCATTATCCATCAACAGATCTGTGTTTTTTCTTGATCTTGGGGGATGGAATACAGATTCTAGTACGTCTTAGTTTTTGTTTTTTTTGTTGTTGTATACATTAAGAATGCTGTTTTGTTTATGTTTCCACTCGTCTTTCATGTTAAATTTTCGTTTACTTTGTTGCATCGGTCACTCACTTGCGTCCACTTTAATAAAGTAACGGTTCGATTTATGATTTACTATATATGTTTCTTCAGTTAATTTCCGTTTTGTTTTGATTCTTTTCGGATGTTAAGGAAAGAAAAGGTAATAATGATTTCCCAACTGTAAGAAAGTGGGAAAAATATATGTTCTATATTATTCAAAAGACATGTACACATATATATATGAACATAATGAGCCTAAATCTAATCCTACAATATATATACAAAATATATTATAACCATATATACAAAATACATTCTAACACCCCCCTAAAACTCAAGGTGGTATAGTAGATATCAACTTGAGTTTGCTAAGAAGTAAACAAAAGCGACCGGGAAGGAGAGACTTCGTGAAGACATCCGCTATCTGATCCGAAGAGGAGACAGAAACAAGTCGTACAGTCCCATGGGTAACATGCTGGCGAATAAAATGACAATCAATCTCAATATGTTTGGTACGCTCATGAAACGTATCATTATGAGACATCTTGACAGCGCTCTGGCTATCACAATGAAGAGCAGTAGAGGATGACTGAGGGACACCAAGATCAGCAAGTAATCGACGCAACCATAATAGCTCTGCGGTGGAATCAGCAAGAGCACGATACTCAGACTCGGCACTCGGACGGGAAAGCAAGGTTTGCTTCTTACTACGCCAAGAGACAAGTGAATCACCTAAGAAGAAGCAATACCCGGTAGTGGAGCGACGATCGGTAGGATCTCCAGCCCAATCTGCATCAGAGTAGCCGCTAAGGGACAAGGAAGAACTGGCCGAGAAATGTAAACCATGCAATAAGGTGCCCTTCACATAGCGAAGGATGTGCAACACAGCAGAATGATGCGTGGTTCTCGGAGCAGCCATAAACTGACTCACAATATGAACAGCATGAGCTATATCAGGCCGAGTGACAGTCAAATATATCAAACTCCCAACGAGCTGGCGATATAACGTAGGATCCTCAAGAAGAGAACCATCCAATGGAGTAAGACGAATATCATAATCAAGAGGTGTGGAAGCTGTCTGGCAATCAGTGAGACCGGCCCGAGCAAGAAGATCAGAGGCATACTTGGCTTGAGACAAATAGAAGCCATCAGAGGAATCATAAATCTCAAGACCCAGAAAATAGCGAAGATGACCCAAACTCTTCATCTCAAAATACTGTCGAAGATAATCCTGTAAGTCGAAAATACCCGAAACATCATCCCCCGTGATGATCATATCATCAACATAGAGCAACAAAATAATGATCCCAGATGAAGAGCGCCGAAGAAATAGGGCAGAATCGTGATCACTCGTAGTGAAACCAAACTGAAACAATGCAGAACTGAACATGGCGTACCAGGCACGAGGCGCTTGTTTCAAGCCATACAAAGCTCGGCGCAGACGACAAACCTTCCCAGAGGACAAGAACCCAGGAGGAGGAGTCATGTAAACCTCCTCAG